TCCTTCTACAGGTGTGCAGTGGAGAGCATCCTGTGCTCCAGCATCAATGTGTGGCATGGAGGCTGCACAGCTGCAGAAAGAAAAGCTTTGCAGAGAGTGGTGAAGGCTGCACAGAAGTCTGTTGGAGTCAGTCTCCCCACCATCACAGACATCTACACCTCTAGATGCAGGAAGAGGGCCACCTGCATCATGAAGGACCACACTCACCCAGCACACACACTTTTTTGCCCCGCTCCCCTCAGGCAGGAGGTTGAGGAGCATTAAGTGTAGAACCACTAGACTGAGGAACAGCTTCTACCCTGAAGTTGTTAAGACTCATGAATCTCTAACCAGGACAATCACTGTGAAAAATCACTGTAATGCCACTTTGACTGATATGTGCTGCTGATTATCTATGCTTCTGATCTCGTGCTGTTTATTTCATGCTGCTGTTCATTCATCATCTTCTCGCTCAGACTCGTGTTCTCTGCTGTTGTTCGATGTATTGTTTTTGTACCATTAGTGCTCAGTATATTCTTAGTTTAGCATATTTCATAGTTTTTCTTTACAATTTATGCTTGTGTTGGGTGTCACTGGGACCCTGTGCACACAATTTCATTCCATCACATGTACCACAATGATGAGCATGACGATAAAGAAACCTTGACCATCACCCAGCCCTACTGAGCTGTAACTGTCGTCCTCCAATGGGAGAGTTGGGGGTTAAATTCCACCAGCAGTCACATGTTGATGTGTCCCTGGTCAAAACACTGAACCCCTCATTGCCTTCGATGTGTCCCAGCGGTGTATGGATGTGATCTAAAGCTCTGATTAGTCTTTGTAGAATGATTTGTTCAGATTATCTTTGTAGGGATGTAGTAGAGTGCTGTATGAGAGAGTGTGTGGAGATGAATGAGGGCTCAGATTGTGTTGTAAAGAGCTTTGAGTATATTTTTAGATAAAGGCTCTATACAAGTGCAGTCTATTTATTGTTTGATCACTGCATTAGTGGTTTGATTTACATCATGTTTTGTTTTGCACTGTCATTTATTGACGGCATTGCTGGTGTGAGAAGTTGTTTCAAAGTAAGGAAACACAAAATATATGTATTTATTTATTGTGGAGGAAAGTTAACCGATGCCTGTCTTTTGTTTTTTAGCTTAATGGACAGAGAAGTGACTCTCATGGCGGAGATGGACAAAGTGAAAGCTGAGGCCAGTAAGTACTTGGTTCTCTGCTGTAAATACACTAAACTTACAGCCGAGCTCTATTCTTCTTCTGGAACATGATCGCCTGACTCAAAGGCTCCAAGAATCTGACCTAAATCACTCCCAGAGGAACCAGAAGAGATGGTTGTGGAACAACGAGTCCCAGTTTCCTCAGAGCTGCAGTGGTGCCCTCAGGGTTCTGGTGGACCCAGAGCATACCTGGTGTGTGTGTGTACCTGCATGTGTGTAACGTGACGGAGCACGACTCCACGTTTGAATAAGTAGGTCAGTTTCTCTCATTCCGTCCTCTGTGTGGAGTGTGGTGCGTTCAAGCCCTGGAAAAACTGAATAGTGTCGGGTGTCAGGGGAGCGTCAAAGCTGCCTTTGTGCGAGGTGTGTGGCGAGTTGAGAGGGAGGCCAAGGAACTTCTTCGACATTACATCACAAAAGCAGCTCCTTCAGAGTTCACCCTTTTTTATTTCTCTTCAGATTACAGTTGTGTAACATTTTCCTCCTTAAAAAGGAAAAAGAAACGTGTTTTTGTTTGTTAAATCTAGATTAAGATTATCTTCACTTCCTCTGTTCAACAATAGATCCCAGTGGTATGATTGATTGAGGATTGCTGGACCTCTGTCACAGCCCTCTTGGGATTTAGTTGGTCCTCCTAAGTTACTTGGACCATACAAAGTGGTCTAAGGCCCCCCTTTCCAATGACCTTCACAACCTATTAAAACATAACAACCTGATAAAGTTCAAAAACCTTTTTAAATGCTAAGATTGTTATGATCCTGCTGTGGTTCTGGTACTTGCTGAATTTTCAGCAGCAAAACTGGTTGATCCACTCTGAGAAGGTGCTATTTATAAGACCGAGCTGAATACAGCACCTCAGACTGAGGAAGTCTTTCGGATGAAAGCTGAAACGTTTCTAGATTTCTTTTTTTTTTTTTTTTTTTTTTTTTTTTTTTTTTTTTTTTTTTTTTTTGAATGTCCAGAGGACCAGATTTAACTTTTTTTAGATACTTGCCGAATAGTTTTTTCCTGCGATCTTCTTAGCTCTCTTAGATTAGTTCTTTGATTGCTTTCTTTGGGATGAAGTGAGGTTCTGCTTCAAATGGAGGAGTTCAAGTATTTCTGGGTTTTGTTCACGAGTGAGGGAAGAATGGAGCGTGAGATTGACAACTGGATTGGTGCAGCGTCTGCAGTATTGCGGACACTATGCCGGTCCATTGTGGTGAAGAAGGAGCTGAGCTGTAAGGCAAAGCTCTGTTTACTGGTCTGTCTACGTTCCTACCCTCACCTATGGTCATGAACTCTGGGTAGTGATAGAAAGAATGAGATTACAGATACAGGAGGTAGAAATGAGTTTCCTCTGCAGGGTAGCTGGACTCTAACTTGGAGATAGGGTGAGAAGTTCAGTTATCAGGAGAGACTCTTGAGTAGAACCGCTGCTCTTCCACATCGAAAGAAGCCAGTTGAGGTGGTTCAGGCATTTGGTAAGGATGCTCCCTGGGTGCCTCTCTAGGGAGGTGCTTTAGGCATGTCCGACTGTGAGGAGACCCCGGAGAAGACCCAGGACACGCTGGAGAGACTGTCTCTCTGTTGGCCTGGGAACAACTTGGAGTCCTCCCAGAAGAACTGGAAGAGGTGGCTGTGGAAAGAGATGTCTGGACCTCCCTGCTCAAGCTGCTGCCCCGCAACCTGACTTCAGAACAAGTGGAAGATGATGGATGGATATCTTCTTAGCCACAACGTGATCTCTTGCTCCCTCAGCCTGTTCTATGTGCCCACCCTGGATCAACACTCTTGTTCCTTTCCTCTTGGGGAGTGGTGGCGCAGAGGTTAGAAGATGGGCCTGTGATCAGAAAGTCGCAGGTTCAGCTCCCGGTACCGTCGACATCAAAATGTAGGTGGAAAATGTGAAGCACCCACACCTGCCTCCACCCTCATTTGCCCCACTCTGGACCCTTGAGCAAGGCCCTTAACCCCCACCATCTGCTCCCAAACAGGTCTCTTGAAAATGATTCCTCGTGACTCACTGAGACTTCTTGTATAAATAAGAGTAAATGAAAATGAAAAACCACGTCAGGAAGCAGCTACAAGCTAGAAGATCACGTGCTAGCTTAACTGCCATGGTTATCCTGGTTGTTTCCATGACCTTATCATGATCATACCTTTGGCTTGAGGCTGGCATGACCAGAACTGCTTTAAGGATTTACCCGTCCATTCTGCTGCCTAATAATAAACTCACCCCATCCTTGCTACCTGACCCAAACCCCCACAGGTGATGACGGTCCCACTGAGTTCTCATTTCTCTCTGAAGACCTCGCCAAGCCACCACAGCCATCAATGTTTTGGCTTTTGTGTTTTTGCGGGGTGGTCATTTTGTGTGGGCGTTCTAAGACTTGTGGATCAGCTGCAGGGTCATGTCACCAAGACTCTGCAGGTCCGATCCACCAGAACACCTGCTGTAGTTCAAACTGCTGGTTTGTTGGTTTGTCTTGGTGTATGGGTCTACAAAACGAAGAAAGATTCAGACCTGTCCCTGCGTCCAAAGTGAACCATGTTCAACACCAAACCCTCCTTCACTGGACGCAGTGTTGGTTTGGTGAAGTCCTGACAGAAGGACGTGTCCTGCTCAGATGTGCAGTAGATGATTTCTCTGCTGTACGTGTCTGATTGTTCTGCTGTGTTTCAGTGATGATTCTGGACGCCCGGCAGAAGAAAGCGGAGGAGCTCCGACGGCTGACGGACCGATCTGCATCCATGTCTGAGGAGCAGCTGGCAGAACTCCGTGCAGACATCAAGGTACCTCAGAAACACCACCGCGGCTCTTTGGCCTCACGAGGCGCAATCAGTGGTTTTTTTCTACTGTATGGTATAACTGAATAAATAAGGGAAATCTTGAACTTTTGTGGGATAAAACAGCTTCTTAATTTTTTAATCTATTAAAAGGTGAGTATGTATCTGTTGTGTTTTGAAGCACACAGAAATTTAACATCCATTTGTTTTTTGCAGCACTTTGTGAGCGAACGTAAATATGACGAGGACCTTGGGAAAGCTCTCAGGTTTACATTTGACCTTGAACCTCTGAAAACGAGCATCTCTGGGTTTGGATCAGGTACTGCACTTCATCTGTTTTATAATGTATAAAATAACAATAAGTAATTCAACTATGCTTTTCTATCAAAGTCTGAAACCAGACCACCGAGTCAAGTGCATCTTTAAACATAAAAACTTATCAAGAATAGTTTATAACATGTTTCTTCCTGCATTGTGAAGACAGCTGGCAGGCCAGCAGAACATTTATACATTTATATAATCATTACATGGTTTTAAGACTGCAGGTACAAATTTATTAAAAATAAATGTTTTACAGTTGTTACAAAACTTTCAAACCTTCTGCAAAGCGTCTGAATTGTTTTCTGCTAACAGTTGCTGTTTTTGCTGCAGACGCAGTAAAACTTAAGTCGTGTTTAAAACTTTGTCAATTCAGCAACGTTACTGAAACTGTTTATCAGTGATATTCTTATTTTGTGGCGGTAAAAATTTCAACTCAAAAACGAATCAATGAAATCTTTATAAATTTTTGCATATGCAGTAAACACTTTCCTGCTTTTAAAGGTGAATTATCTAAAAATGTCCGAGCATCTTCTGTAAGTCTGTTCACAGAATATCAAACTTTACAAGTCGTGTTTGTTTGGAGGCACACTGAAAACTTTAAAACTTTTACCAGTGTATAACACTACATTAGAAACTTGGGGTTCTATAAAACCATTTTGTTTCCTTTTTAGGGGTGGGTGATTTTGCTCAAATATATTATTGTGATATTTCAGAGCATTCTGACCATAACGATAAATTTTGTGATATAAAAAAAAAATCTGTTATTTGACAAAATTAACTCAACACGTTGCTTTGCAGTATTATATAAAATTTTTTAAAAAAAACAAGGGGTAATTTTACTGAAATGACTTTATTTAGTAAAGTATTCAGTCTCCAAGTATAAAAATAAAAAAGATCCTTCTGTTATTTAGATTGAAAAAGTCTGCACAAAATATAGATCAACAAAATCCACCACAAAAACTAAAGTGCAGGTGAAGTTTCCCAAAATAACTGAATAAAATGAAGCTTAAGATCCGTTGAGCATAAATGTAACAATATTTGTTGCCTTTAAATTAACTATAACTTCCAAAACTTGTAACAAGGTGATCATCTGACCCTGAAGCTCGTGGTGTTTCAGCTTCCTCTGTTCCTGCAGGAATGATTCATTTCTCTGATGCTCCGTCTCTGATCACCTGACTCTGTTCTTGGTCCATGGACTGTGGAACTAAGAGACAGACCTGCGCGTGTTTGTACCGGCAGCTCAGAGCGGAGTGCAGAGAGAGAGAGAGAAAAGACGTGGCAGCTTAGAGCGGGGGAAGGGAGACAGTTTCTGTACCTGCAGTTTAGAGCTGGATGGAGAGATGCAACTGAGCTGCGCGTTTTTGTTTTTAGTTTTTTAGCTAGCTAGTGCGCAACTAATTAGCGTTACACCAGTACCGACAGGTGGAGTGGGGGGGAGGTGCACAGTTTGGCTTGGTCGTTCAGTGCGCTCGGTTCTGTTAAAGGGGCGGGGCGCCCTGACGTATTAAGTCATGAAATGAGCAAATCATGATATCATTTTTTTTTTTTTGCCCGGGCAAGTTTCTTTTACCGGTATTATCGTGAACGACATATGGCCCAGCCCTATCCCTTTCTGAATTTTTTGTTTTAAAATTAGGCATAATTTTTCCATCTAAAAGGTGTTATGGTGTGCAAATAATACAATTTTATGATAGAAAAATGTCTACGTTTTCATACATGGTGGAATTTGAACATAAAAGTATGAAGACTGTTTCAGTTTAACAGTAGATTTGAGTGTTTTAGTGAAAAATAAAATTCCTCATGAGTGTTAAAAAAGTTTAAAGTCCTTTCTGTGAAATAAGTGCATCGCACATGAACTAAGACTCACACAATCTCAGGTATTTTGTATAGTGTAATACAAACTGGGGGCAGCTGTGGCTGAGTGGTTAGAGCAGTCGTCCTCTAGTGGAAGAGTTGCGGGTTCAATTTCACCATCAGTCATGGGTTGAAGTGTCCCTGGGCATGACACTGAACCCATGACCTCTGTGTGTCCCATCAGTGGATGAATAAGATCTAAAGCTCTGATTATTCTCAAGATTCATATTATCTTTGTAGAGATGTCGTAGAGTGCTGCGTGCGTGCGTGCGTGCGTGCGTGTGTGTGTGTGCGTGGAGGTAAGAGGGCACAGTGTGTTGTAAAATTCTTTGAGTATCTAGATTAGATCAAGTTCAAGTCGACTTTATTGTTGTTTGCATCACATGTGGAACAAAATTGTGTACACAGCGTCCCAGTTACACCCAAAAATATAAAGTAGAAAAAGAAACTAAACCAGGATATAAGATAAGATACAAGATATAAACTAAACAAATGCCAAACGGTACGCTAAAAGATCTAAAATAAAATACAATTCGATCTTAGTTTCTTTAAGATTACTTTCAGAGTGAAACAATTGACCTTTGATTTATTCTTTTTTTTTTTTATTTTTTTTTTATTAATTAGGTTTTCAAACATTTTCTAAAATCATTGTAGAGATTAACATGATTGCACAGATGGGCATTTTGTTGAACATGATGCTATTTATACTCCGAAGGAGCTGTTAAAGGCTCTGCGTGGTAAGAAAGAGCTTCCAAATGACTGAGCTACTACAGCAACAGTAATTAGAGAGACGGGTATGAAGGTACTTGGTGTGTCATCTGGACAGAGAATGGATGATGAGGTAACCTGGTGGTGGAACAGTGAAGTGCAGGACGCCGTTCAAAGAAAGAGGTTAGCCAAGAAGAAATGTGACTTAGAGGACTGAAGAGAGGAGACGGGAATTTAAGGAGATTCAAAGAGGGAGGTGGCGAAGGCAAAGCAGAAGGTATATGACGAATTGTTTGGGAGGTTGGACACTAAAGCGGATGAGAAGGACTTGTCCCAATTGGTGAGACAGAGGGATCAGTCTGGAAAGGATGTGCAGCAGGTTAGGCTTGTTAAAGATAAGAATAGTAATGTTCTAACAAGTGAAGATAGTGTGATGGGAAGATGGAAGGAGTACTTTAAGGAGCTAATGAATGAAAGAGAAAGAAGAGTAGAGGTCATAGAAGCTGTGGACCAGGAAGTGGTAAAGATCAGTGAGGATGAAGTCTGGAAAGCTCTGAAAATGATAAAGATGGGGAAGGCAGTAGGACCTGATGACATTCCAGTGGAGGTTTATAAATGTCTTGGAGAGATGGCAGTGAGGTTTTTGACTCAAATATTCAGTGGCATATTTGAGGGTGAGAAAATGCCTCGGGAATGGAGAAGAAGTGTGCTGGTGCCCATTTTTAAGACCAAGGGCGATGAACAGAGTTGTTGCAGCTACAGGGGAATCAAGTTGATTAGTCACACGAAGATCTGGGAGAGAGTTGTTGAAGCAAGACTTAGACGAGAGGTGAGTATATGTGAGCAGCAGTATGGTTACATGCCAAGAAAGAGCACTACAGATGCCATCTTTGCTTTGAGGATGATGATGATGAAGTACAGAGAGGGTCAGAAACATTGTCTTTGTGGATTTAGAAAAAGCATATGACAGAGTGTCGAGGGAGGAGGTGTGGTATTGCCTGAGGAAATCTAGAGTGGCAGAGAAGTATGTTAAAAGCATGTTGGACTGGTACAGGAGGACAGCAGGACAGTGGTGAGATGTTTGAGTGACACGTAGCTTCAAGGTGGAGCTGGGAGTGCATCAAGCATCGACTCTGAGCTAGAGCTGTCATTTCTAATTCAGACCCGAGGCCCGGCCCGACACGGAATTCGGGCCTGGCCAAAATAATTTGCTGGCTGGGCGGGCCAGGTCGGTGTCAGGCTTTTGATTGCTTTAGCGGACACGCGTCACGTGGCTGACTATCCAATTTGGATCATCAGCTGCGTGCGGCCAATTGACCGCGCGCTGACCGGCCGGTTGAAAGAGGTAAAAAAAAAAAAAAAATAAATTTCAGTTAAGTTTCAGCTGGACCACTGCCAGCGATCCATCCAAGCCCAACTGGACTCAGCTGTTGCGGATGCGCGTGGCTAAGCCCGGCCAGTTGAAAGGGGTAAAAAGTCCAGATGGATCACTGCCAGCGACCCACCTGAAGCTTAACTGGACTCAGCCGCGGCGTCAGCAGACGCGCGTGGCCGATGACCCAATTTGGATAATCAGCCACGCATGTCCGCCGACCGTTAATGACTATAATAATTTATATTATAATGACTATAATCCGCTGGCTCTTGTTTATAAACAAGAACTCTTATGTCTTCCTTTCTTTGAAATGTGTTTTTTAAAACTATCATGTCAAACTGATTGGCTTACAAAAACAGTAAAAGTTTAAAAATGTTTTTTTAAAGTATCTTTTTTGGGGGGGGTTTGGCCCTGTAGTCACAGTTAATTGGTCGTGTTCGTGTTGGGCTCAGGAAAGAAATGATACAGGTTCAGGCCAGGTTGAATTTTTTTTAGGCCTGAATGCAACTCTTCTCTGAGCCCCTTCTTGTTTGCTTTGGTGATGGATCGACTAACAGATGAGGTCGAGCAGGAATCCTCGTGAACTACGATGTTTGCAGATGACATTGTGATCTGTGGTGAGAACCGAGAACAGGTGGAAGCGAACTTGGTGAGGTGGAGGTATGCTCTTGAAAGAAGAAGAATGAAAGTCAGACATAGTAAGACAGAGCACGTGTGAATGAGAGGGAGGAGGTGGAACAGTGAGGCTACAAGGAGCAGAGGTCACAAAGGTGCAGGACTTCAAGTACTTGGGGTCCACTGTCCAGGAAAATGGGAATGTGGTAAAGAGGTGAAGAAGAGAGTCCAGGCAGGATGGAGTGGATGGAGAAAAGTTTCAGGAAAGATTTGTGACACAAGGGTGACAGCAAAGGTCAAAGGAAAAGTTTACAAGACAGGGGTGAGACCAGCTATGACTATGTTGTATGGTCTGGAGACAGAGACATGGACAAAAAGACAAGAGACAAAACTGGAAGTTGCAGAAATGAAGATGTTGAGGTTCTCCTTAGGAGTGACAAGAATGGATAAGATTAGGAATGAGATCATCAGAGATGCAGCACAGGTTGAACAACTGGGAGATAAAGTTAGAGAGACCAGACTGAGATGGTTTGGACATGTCCAGAGGAGGGACAGTGGCTTGGACATGTCCAGAGGA